TACAATTTACATTACCAAAAAGACACCTGTTTTTAGTTATTTTAATCCACAAAGACCACATTCCGCGAGGTCAACACAACGACAAGCGACGTGCATGGTTACCGATGCCATAAAATAATACACGTGACTGGCATATCTGAATTGTGATGTAACAATGAGCTCAAGACAGTTCTTTTCGTGAATGAAACTTTATATTCCATTATTTTTAAATACCAAAGTTCAGAAGCTAAATTGAAACATTGGGAAAGCTGAAAATTCGTCCTTCTCCTCTTAGATTGCCCTTGCATTGACGACCTTGTCGCGACCCATACTTTAAGAACCACTGTACTAGAGTGTTATCTATGAGGAACCCATAGAGCGCGCAAGTTGATGTGATGTTCAAAAAAGTTTGATTGGTGTATATACATCGCAATTCATTTTCCAATTTACCCACGTTTATCATGCGGTAAAATTTGGAGACAGTAGCCAACAAATGGATGGGAAATTGACGTGCAAATTTTGAAAAATTTTTGGGGTTCATCAAAGAGAACGCGGCAAGGTGTTCAGTGCGCAGACGTCACCAGAATGTCACAGCATTCCTTTGCAGACAAAATCAAACGCTGCGTTGTTTGCCCGCGGCGTAAAGAAGCACTCCATGTGTCGTCGTATTTTATTGTTTCCCGGATACGAGATACAGCATCGCAGAAGTCTGAAATACACGACTGCACAGACGCTCCATCCATTAGCCTTGACTGCAATGCGCCGTATAATACATCCACGTGATAGAATATTGTGGAGAAAAAAGCGAGAAAAAATGAAAACTCACCATCTTCTAGCAGACGCTTTAGACCTGCCGCCTCCCTCACAGAGCGTTCGTCCCAAACCGGAGAGCTCTGAATGCCATTGAAACACTTATTGAGCTCAGACCTAATTTCGGACACGCCCTGCACCACGCGTGATTGGAAGTTCCAACGTGTTGGTGCACAAGCTGGGAGACGGCGGCTACATATCTGGCGAAGGAGGTCAGAGCGCTTCGGCGAAACGGAAAAAAATGAAGAAAACCCCGAAACATTTGCAAAAAATATACGGACGAGAGGGGTATCAAGACACATATTTTTAATAACGAGGTTAAATTGGTGTGCATAACAATGTAAAAAATGCGCATGAGGAAAATCTTCTTTTATATAAACTTGAACACAATGTTTCGACCCACTCATGACTGCCGCGCCGTCATGAGTTTGAGCTATCAATTTTGACTTCGCGTTGTAAGGCTGTAACACTTCTTTCAGTACAGCCGATATCACGCAGGCCGTGCGATCAACGATTGGTACAAAGCTATGAAATCTCTCGGTAGGTTTACCATCTTTCACAAACCGAAAAATCACAGCCAGTTGGGAAACGCACGTAATGTCAGTTGTCTCGTCAGACTGAATCGAAAGGAACTGGCAATTCTCAATTTCCAGAGCCAAATGTTGTAAATAAATTTTATACATTGAGTCGAGCAAATCATCTGGATATCCTTAGATGTCCCTTTCGAAACAGTTGCGGTATCAAGATGATCTCTCAATACTGTATCTAGGGATGCGTTGTATTCCACCATATCCAAAAATACCCCTCTATTAGAAGAGCCAGCCCGTTCATCGTGCCCACGGAGGGACAGCTCGTGACAACCAATGAACTTCAAAACATCTATCAATCGACCGAGAACATGGCGGTTTTTCTCGCATTTTGGTTGTGCCGACGAATAGAAACCGCGCGTCCTTCATCCAACTGTGCTGCAATATTAACATTTCCGAATGTTCGGTATTTTACTGCATTGTCCAGATGCTCCATAGAAGATTGATGATTCCTGGCACGCTCGGAAAGATGTTTAAGATCTTTAAAACCAAATTTACACCAACGTGAGTCACGGGCGGTAGCAAAAAGTAGGCAATAAAAACAAAAAAGTGCATTTTTGTCCTCGCTGTAACACAACCATTCGTGTTTTTTATACCAAGTTTCTGCGCAGAATGTACGCCGACGCTTTCCTCCGTCATGGGATTGTTCCAGTGAACATTTTTTTGGTTGATAAGACCCAAGACGTTGTACCTCTAATTTTTGTTCCAGCGGCAGCTGCAAAAACGGAGTGCGAAGTAGTGCATCAACCTTATTCATTATGAGGTCTAAGGCTAAGAAATGCGAAGCCGGAAAGAAGTGAGGAGCTCAAAAGGAATGTGGAAAATCGAAAGCAAATGGACTAAAGGTCTCTAACCGATTCAAATAGCGAAACAAGGGACAAAAACGAAGGCGAGGAAACTATCAACTCTTCAAGCAACCAACGAACGAGAAGGAATGCGTGAATATGTCAACACGTTGTTGTAAGAAACGTCGACATTGTGTCGTCATAATTTCGGGGCTAGCCCCGATGATTCAGTAAAAGAAACAGAAAACAAACGAGACAAACGCGGCAGGTGGAAGATAAAAGAGAGAATACGATATACAATGAGCAACCGGGGCAAAATCGGCGTCGCCCCGTCGACGTTCGGCGAAGGCTTTGCGAGCGAAAAATGAACCATGTCGGGAGAATATGGCTAGTGTAGACAGTATGTGCAACCGATATTGAGGTATTTTTCGAATATTTTTTATTATACCGAAAAAACAACCGGGGCATTGCCCCGGTTGGACCTATTGACGCGCCGCCACTGCCTTTACTGCTACTGCAAAATCCACCACATTCATTGAATGAATGAATATTTCTCCTGGCAATTTTAAAAAATTGGTGGGAAAATCCCATTTTTCATACACAAAGAAAACAGACTTGCTAAGTAGGGAGATATAATATCAGCTGTAAACTTAATAGATTTTGGTGGAATATTATCAGGCCCAATAGCCTTGTTTGTATTAATATTGGTAATTTCAGCTAATAGTTCATTTTCACTCACTGGTTCCAGATGAACGGTACTTTTGACCTGCCTTTGCACATAGCGTTTGAAAACATCAGAATTCGGGAGCTTGGACGAAAGAGAATTTCCAATAGATACAAAATAGTTGTTGAAACAATTGGTTATTTCCAATGGATTTTTAACAATGGAACTATTTCCATTTAGAGACTCCTGAACTTATCTATAGCACTTGGCCTTAAAATCTAGCCTTGAACCAAGATTGACGACTAAACCATCATGAATGTATCTGAAAAAAATATTCAGCTGTTCATAGTCTAATTACAGATTGCTGTAGTTTGTGCAATGTTTCCAAGAATGTATTTAAAAGACTTTTTAAACTGCCCCTGAATTTCATTTGTCTCTATACTAAAACCACCAATTCAGTCCTAACTTGGACGCTATATACTCGTATTAGTCTATGAACCATGGGATACGGTACCGGTAGTCACGCAGGTCTCCCATTCCTTTGACATTCTTCAACTAAGTTAGGATATAGGATATACATATTTATCCCGGGGGAGGGGAAAGCCGATAAGACGGCTTATCCATATGGCGAACCACGGCCTCTCGTCCGGTTACCATTCCAAGTCGGGTATGGAATTAGTTATATTGTTTGTTTTCGGAAGCATGGACTTGGTGGTGGAGGAAGCCGTAACTGACCAGCGGTTACGCGAACCACCCAACGACGGCGAGGAGTCCAGCAATCCTCTCGCACATAACCATCCCCGCATGGGATTCGAACCTGCAAACCCACGCAGAGTAAAGTTATGTACGGTAACGGCAATGTGAACTCGGAATAACGTTAATAATAGAGCACTTGACAATATGTTATAACTTTAAAAGCACGAAAATACCGCGATCACCAGTAAAATGCCATTCGAAGGCCTTTAAAACGAGCAACGTACAGTACCACTCTATCGCCTTACACAAGCCTGAATATTTGCAATGTTTGTCTGAGCGATCAAAATCAAAACAATAAAGGTCAAAGGTCGGGGAAAGGTTCATTTGCCGTCCCGTGTGCGCCCCGCAAATTAACAGCATTTTGTTAAGCATGACTAATACACGATGGCTTTATTTATTGTATTTATCATAAAAACAAAACGTTTGGGAACCGCTGTGTTCTACGGGATTCGAACGACCTACGCAGGCTAATCAGACGTGCGTTAACGAGCGTATTCTCAACGCTTAGCTAGCACGATGAGGGGACGGACTAAAAGTAGACATTTCAGAAAAAATAAATGAGCGTAATGATTTTTAAAAGAATAATGTACTAGTTGAATATAGTAAAATTAAATGTTGAACACAAAAAATGCAACATGTAAGTACAATAGGGAGATTTGAAACGTGGTAAGGGACTCGCATGCGCTCGGTCACCACATACTCCATCCAATACTACGTTTTAAACCTCCTTATTGAATTAACTTGTTGCACCTAGGATTCAGATATTTATTTCGTCGTGATTAAAATACTGCGATAAAATGTTTGCTGAGTTGAAAAGCAGATGAAATCAAACAAACATTGTAACGTCACGGTCGGGTGAGCCTGAGTACTACAAAGAAAATTGCTGACTAACATGACGCGATGAAGCGTAGTTAGCAACCAAAAAACGGATATTGTTTTATCAAAACGGATATCGTTGTTCAACATGCTCGCATGTTCAACATTTTTTTTGACCAACTTTAAGTAACCTATTATCTTTTTGAATGATATTACGCAAATTTTCTCTTTATACTTGAGTGGCTAAATATGCGCATTAAATCCCATACCCGAAATGGAATGGTAACCGGACGAGAGGCTGTGGTTCGCCATATGGTTGAGCCGTCTTACCGGCTTTCCTCTTCCCCGGAATAAATATGTAAATCCTATCCTATCGTGGCTACTTTTAGTCCGCCCCCCACGATGCGCCGGTGGGCAAATTTTTGAAAACCAAACAGCAAAAATATGTTATAAATAACCGGACGCATGGCGGGTATGATTTCTGAAAACCGGGTAGCTGTCAGCTGAAAATTGTTTACTGGTTTTGCAGAGACTTTGGTTTTTGCGGTTTGCAGCAACTTACCGGTATCCGCTCGTTAGTTGTTTGGAGCAGCAAAACAAAAAATGGAGCTTGAGATTAACTGTGATAAGAACACTCGCATATGGAGACTTTTCCAACGACTCGACAGATTGAGAAAAGATGAAGATCGTTGTGATGTTTTAATTGAGATTGGATCTGATGAAATCCTGGCTCATAAGAATGTGTTGTCTGCAAACTCGGATTATTTTGATAAGATGTTTGCGCATGACACGAAGGAAAAACAATCGGGAATATGTGAAATGAAAGAAGTTGATGCATTTCGTGTTAAAAAATGTGTTGACCACATGTACAGCTGTGAAATTGGGGCTCCATTCGAAAACCTTGGTGATTTATTGCATGTTGCCACATTATTGCAACTTGATGAAGTTTATAGCGGAATCGTGGAACTTCTTGAAGTAAATCTGAGTTCAGAATCGCTATTTGAAATCAAGAAAATTTCCAAAATGTTCAATTTGACAAATCTTGAAGAAATCTCAAAGGTTGCTGATTTTGGTTTTCTTGATAAACAGGAAATTGTAAACATGATTAAATCAAAAAAATTGGAAGTTTCAGAAAATGTGAAACTTAGTGCCGTATTCAACTGGATTAGATTTGATTCCAAAAGTCGTAAAAAGTTTGCAGACGATCTGATTGGATTGGTTGATTTATCCAAACTATCTCTTGGGTATCGAAGACATGTCATCGCGAATGGAGACATTGTCAGAAAAAAATGCTGATCGTCAGTTCAAATTCAGCATGTCTGTAATGGACTCCATGAATATTACGCCATCAAGTGTTGCCGAAAGTGCAAGCAAAGAAGGCATTGTCGTTTTTAATGCAAATTCTGGCTACTTGCATTGTTATAATCCTGAAAACAACTCATGGAAGGAAATGCAAGAGATGAACAAAGACATGAAGAATGAATATTTCACTGCTGTTACTGTTGATGACTTTATTTATGTTTTGATAGAAAACAAGGCTTTTTACAGCCTCAATTATCTTGATGAGGATGCCACCTGGGAGAAAATGGCCGATATGCTTGAAGATCATGGCGAGTATCCTCCAGCTGTTGTTTTGAATAACATTATTTATGTCATCGGGTGTTCTTCTTCATGTAATGATATTACTGCTGTTGAGAAGTACGATCCCAATTCAAACATATGGACAAGACATCGCGAGTTCGAGAGAGACAGAGGGATAACTCGCCATGTCTTTATTCTTTATAATTGACGATCGACATCGCGAGTTCGAGAGAGAGAGAGGGCTAACTCGCCATGTCTTTATTCTTTATAATTGACGATCGACATCGCGAGTTCGAGAGAGAGAGAGGGCTAACTCGCCATGTCTTTATTCTTTATAATTGACGATCGACATCGCGAGTTCGAGAGAGAGAGGGCTAACTCGCCATGTCTTTATTCTTTATAATTGACGATCGACATCGCGAGTTCGAGAGAGAGAGAGGGCTAACTCGCCATGTCTATTTTCTATATAATTGTCGATTGCCCTGATGCCGGCTGATATTAGTGTTAAGCCAACTCACCACGACAAGGTTTCAGCCTTCGAGTCAGAATTTCTTTTTACCAGAAGAAACCCAAGCACAGATAGGCATCATAGCTGTACATGGAAAAGAAACTGAGGAAGGGGAAAAAGACATACACAAGGTTACTTACTCTTTACAAAAGGCCGGGCCGTAGATTTTTGAACATCTTCGAAGGAGAGCCTCCGCAGATAATCCTCCGTCCTTGAAAACACCCCAAACTTCCTTCAGCTTGTCATTTGCCTAGCTGTATTTTGCGTCAGCCCTTCTTGGTATATTTCCCTCCATTACTTCTGCTACATCTGATTCCACCGCAATGCTGACCTCGTGAATCTTGGATATAAGGCTATAAAAAGGCATATTTGTCCGTGCTATGCTATTGAAGTACCGATGCCACCCTTCCAAATGGTTGTTAGTCCTAACGTCGACGTCGAATACTGACTAGAGATGTACCGATGTATCGGTATCGGCAATATCGGCCATTTTTTCGGTATCGGCCATGTATCGGTATCGGTTAGATTAAGGCCGATATTTCCGATATATTTACCTTTTTGATATGGTCCAGAATGTTTTAAAAATAAGTTGGAATACTACTTTTTAATTTATTTTTTTTTTTCTGGAGAGATCGTGAGCTACGAGCCATACATGTCCCTACCCCCGCGAGAGAATATGATTCACGTATTTTTAGCTATTTTCTCTGTCAAATTTTTATATTGACATTTTTAATATTACATAGTAATTATGAAGAAATATATCAACACGTCACATAACAAAAAGCAATTAGGCGCCCAGTTTTAAATCATACAGTGGAATTGGGGTCCTTATTAGCGGCACATGGACTTTTGGCACGGGTATAAATTCTGACTGTTTGTCGTCAAGTACGAGTGTCATTTAGTCCGACGACATCGATAAACTAAATTCCGACACAATTATCCCTCTACGCAGATATTAATTTTGTTTAACAACACAATTTCTTTATAAATATATTGACATGACCGCCTATCCCTAGAGGGCCTAGAGTCCTAGACTGTCTCAAAATAGGATAGGATTTACATATTTATCCCGGGGGAGAGGAAAGCCGATAAGACGGCTTATCCATATGGCGAACCACGGCCTCTCGTCCGGTTACCATTCCAAGTCGGGTATGGGATTAGATTTTACTGTATTGTTTGTTTTCGGAAGCATGGACTTGGTGGTGGAGAAAGCCATAACCGACCAGCGGTTACGTGAACCACCCAACGACGGCGAGGAGTCCAGCAATCCTCTCGCACATAACCATCCCTGCATGGGATTCGAACCTGCGAACCCACGCAGAGTAGTTGGAGGTGCGGTGGCGAGCGTATTCCTAACGCTTAGCCCGTTGAGCCACACCGCCGCGCCGGCAATTGTATAATAATATAAAATGGTGACCGTACATTTGAACCCATGTACATTTGAACCCATGCGTATATCCACGGATTCAATCTATATGCGGGTGCTAAAACCCATGGGTTAGGGTTAGTATGCGTTCTTCAGCGATGTCCTGTCGAAATATTCGACAAATCTATTCAACCCGTCGGTGGTCATTTTGCCTCGCAGAGATAGGAACAGCGACGGGATGAACATATCTGGAATATAACACAGGGTCATGACTTGCTTCATTAAATCTCTCGTCCCGATGTCCCTGAAAAATGGAAATTACATATTCAACAACGTTAATGATATAAACACATAAATGCATATGAGCACTAAATTACTCACTTGTTATACAAACTTGCTAATTTGTTCTGTCGCATGTTCTTCATGATGGCCTGAGTGAAATGGAATGCACATCCCTGTCTTCTCACATCCGGCCATACCAGAGACAGTGCTTGCCATGTTGCTGCTTCAAAGTCCATGACAAATTTCTTCACACGAGTACCTGAAAAATTTAAATGCAGTATAGTTTTGATAGCCTTGAAAACATTTTCATAATCACACTTACGTCGCCTTGACATTTCTATTTTCAACTCTTCGTTAATATCTGATGGATCTGTGGGTCTGTTTCCCTGTCTTGAACCACCCCTGAACATCCGACGGGAAATGTAAAAATTTCCTCAGTCTGTAAAAAAGAGCAACAAGTTAGACATATAGGCTAGGTGCGAAACACTAGGGATCTAAATGAGTAATGAGAGAGGATATTTACCATAGGTATTGGGCTAATCTCAGAGCATTCAGAGTCGGAGTAATCAACGAGTCGTGGAATGTTCGTCGGCGGGGCCAGATATATCGTGGAATCATTCCGCTGTTGTTGTTGATGATCTTCGGCCTGCAAAGAAACAAGATCATTATAACTTTTTGACTTTTATACTTATATAGAAAATAGATATATACTATATCTTCTATACTTACCTTTGTGTAGCAGTCTAGGCATTTCCAGTCAAAAGTGACGTCTCGACTTTTCAGTAATCTGTATTGCGGCCTGGACATTCCTACTGTAGTTCCATTGAAACATTTTCGGTGAAAATGTCGCAGATCAAGCCTTCTTGTTTGTTGGTGACTGTAGACATGCATTCGTTGCAGACATTAGTTGCATTCATCGTTGCTTTGAGTTTGAAAATTGTAGACAATCGAAGTCGTAATAGAAATTCGTAGAATCAGTTCAAAAACTGTGGTATTGTATCCGTTGATATTGCCACATTTATAGTGCTTGGCTATGGTAAGGCGTAAGACCGGAGATAAATTACGCTTAAGCTCAGTGATAATACTATCTGGGCTGGCGTAAAATCGTAGATATGTCGAAGATAACTAGTTCGTAGATAAGTAGATGAAACAGGGTCACTGTTATCTTTTACCCTTTGTCTCCGAACTCACACCTATATTATCTGCGTTTTATCTCATTGATACGAACGTAAGATAAGGGATATTAGAAAAAGATTTGTACTACGATTGAAAAACAAGAGAGCTATATGGACACGTAGAGTCCCTTAATTTTGATGACGTCATAGCGAAAAAAAAGCCTTTTAAAGAAAAATTCTATCTTCCACTGAAAATGTCAAAGCAATTGGTCCAATATTCGAAGAGAAAAGCGAGAATATGAAGAATAATTATAAAGAATAAAGACATGGCGAGTTAGCCCTCCCTCTCTCTCGAACTCGCGATGTCGATCGTCAATTATAAAGAATAAAGACATGGCGAGTTAGCCCTCTCTCTCTCTCGCGATGTCGATGGTCAATTATAAAGAATAAAGACATGGCGAGTTAGCCCTCCCTCTCTCTCGAACTCGCGATGTCGATCGTCAATTATAAAGAATAAAGACATGGCGAGTTAGCCCTCTCTCTCTCTCGAACTCGCGATGTCGATGGTCAATTATAAAGAATAAAGACATGGCGAGTTAGCCCTCTCTCTCTCTTGAACTCGCGATGTCGATCGTTAATTATAAAGAATAAAGACATGGCGAGTTAGCCCTCTCTCTCTCTCTCGAAATGGCGATGTCGATGGTCAATTATAAAGAATAAAAACATGGCGAGTTAGCCCTCTCTCTCTCTCGAACTCGCGATGTCGATCGTTAATTATAAAGAATAAAGACATGGCGAGTTAGCCCTCTCTCGAACTCGCGATGTCGATCGTCAATTGTAAAGAAAATAGACATGGCGAGTTAGCTCTCTCTCTCCCTCTCTGCTCGCTATCAACGGCTGTTAGAATAAAATGAGACTGCCGGTAGCAAAATAGAACTTTTGATATATTTAGCGTTGTTGTTGATTCAGAGCTCATACAATCAATTAATATGATGATATATTTAGCATGCTTAGATGAAAATGATAAGTTGAGACATCCTTTGCGCGTCGAGTACCTACCGTACGTACCGGTATGCCTTCCGACATATAAGCACGTTTTCTTGTCACTTTGTTACCATTTGCACAGTAGGTATTGTAACCAAACACATTTAATTTAATATATTTATCCTTACTATTGAAGTTGTTAGTATAAACAGCCACCTTTCCATCTCCCATTACAAGAAGAGCCTCCACACAGTTGCAGGCTATCCCGTTAACCGCCGTCGCATGGCGAGTTAGCCCTCATGGCGAGTTAGCCTCCACCCAATAGTACTAGCTGACAGTTACCCATTTTTCCAAATTAAACCTGCCATGTTTTCCGTTGTGAAATTTTCTGCAACTACTGATCGGCCACGATGTGAGCATCGTTTAGTTAACCTTTAATTCATTTTCTTATATATTTGAT